CGCCTCGCACCCGCCGAGACCCTGCCGGCCGGGGCCGGCCCGTGCAGAAACGGCAGATGAACCCGTGCCTACGTTCTTGTTTAATTCCTGTGCTCAGTTGTCAAAGCAGTCGTTGAACAGATGCAAACGGCAGTTGCCTGTGCTGGCGGCAGCTTGGGCTTGCAGAGTCTAACAGCCAGAGCCAGCTCCTTAAATCAGCTCCCGGCCCGCTCTTGGCCAGCTGGTTTCTGTCATTCGGCCCGTGCAGAAACGGCAGATGAACCCGTGCCTACGTTCTTGTTTAATTCCTGTGCTCAGTTGTCAAAGCAGTCGTTGAACAGATGCAAACGGCAGTTGCCTGTGCTGGCGGCAGCTTGGGCTTGCAGAGTCTAACAGCCAGAGCCAGCTCCTTAAATCAGCTCCCGGCCCGCTCTTGGCCAGCTGGTTTCTGTCATTTGCTGCCTTCTGGCTACATCTTCCGTTTGAATAGCAAACATGCGTAGCTTTATGTACATACACGTGTATATATTTATATATGCGTGCATATGCATACATATAGATGCATACCTACAGGAGGAAAAAGACCAGTTCTCTTCCAGACGACCAGCTGAAGCCATAGAGCATGAGTTTTGATTTTAGCCGTCGCGTGAATGTAGGCAAGCAAGTGTTGACAGCTAATTGTAATGTTAAACATCTAACTACGTCACGCTTCCCCATAGGGCTGTTGTGTGTTCAATGCTTGTCTCTGGGCGCTACAAACAGATTTGTGTTTATAAATATGGGGGTGGGTGTGTATATACAACTGCACATTAAGCAATTTATAACTAACTTTATAGTTATATTTTGTTATACATATATGTAGGTACAAATTGATTATAGTGCAGTTTAAGCTTATTTAAGTGGCATTTTAACAATGTTTAAGCTTTGTCAACTCTCAGTGGTGCCATGTAATTATACAGAACAGAGGGGAAAGCCAGATGGAGTATTGAAACCTTTTACGAAACTAGTCTGCAAATCGGGAGTTTACAGGAGGTTATAGCTGCGTACTAGGAAGGGGAGATAATTTTAGTTAACCTGTTAGATGTACTAGAAAAGTTGAGAAGATGGTCGTAGTAGTTTGATTTCCATTTCAGTAAGGATATGGGAAGTAAGTTTTGACAAAGGGGATAATACAGGCTTTTTGGAGAGACAGAAAGAAACGCCAGAACTTGGTAAACCTCTGATGGGAGAAGTGAGAACAATAGACATGTACAAAATTCAGAAGTGTAGGGTTGAATGGGAGAACAGTGGGGTCAGCAAGAAACAACGAGGGCAGGGAAGGGTTGGCTGGATTTTGATGATCTCGTAAAAACGAAAAAGGTCCTGGATTCATATATCAAATAGAAATCATGAATGTGCATCAATAGCCTGCATCCGAGCATGTAAGACTCGGGGGGGGGGGGCATGGAGCATGCGAGTGGGCGAGGGTGGGGGGGGGGGGGGGGGGGGGGGGGGCGGGCAGCTGTTGAAGGGTGACCTGAAAAAGTCCAGAGAAGAGCTAGTCTGAAAAGGATGGTTTGATCAGGAGCTGCGTTCAGTGCTTTGAGAATCAAGTCTTTCTATTTATCTGGGGAAGAGTTTGTAAAGAACTTTTTCTTCCCTGTTTGATCCTCCCCACATGCTGGAGGAGTTCTCAGCCTGTCGTCTTAGTAACAGTATCCTTTACCACTCTGTATTGGTATCTCCATCCCATCTTAGTGTCTGCCCTGCCATGCTATACATAATTGTGTTAAAACCCACAAAAGATGTGCAGCGGGTTTTTTGTGTGTAGCAGTGGTTTGCGCTCATCCTTGTTGTTAAAGCAGCAGCTTCTTTGCTTTGAAGAAGCTGGGGCTGGAGAACCGATGGCTGCTTTGCCTGTCGTCAGAGCTGCCCAGCACTCGGCTTCTGTTCTGGCTCTGTTGAAATTAACTGTACCCTCCTTTTTGACTAGTGTCCTTACCTGAACTGGTCCCTCTTCCCACTGTTGGAGAAGAAATCTGTAGGTATACAGCCTGTCACTTTAGCTGATGTATTCCATAATTTATTTCAGTGTGTAGTGACCTACTGGAAGGTGATGGCTCCTTGAAAGGTGCGGCCTGGGACGCTGTGTGCCAGGGTCACTGTGGCATAATAACAGTTATAAAAACAATTCTGAGAAGTCATGTGAAACTTGAGGGAAAAATTAATCACTTGGTAGGTGAGTCACTAGCTACTTAGACCAAGACTTATTTCTCCAAGTGAAGGCTGTCTTTTTAAAGTGACCCAAAGCGCTAATGCCAGCTAGCAAAACCTAAATGTTTCCATTTTCACTGACAGATTTAGCCAGGTGATACCAGGAACAGGTGCAATCACAGTGACTCCTTCAGGGAAAAAGGGAACAGGGAACAGCCCTGTCAGGCATCTCCCGGAGCTGCACATCCATCTCTGAGGTACTGTAGTTAAGAGATGGACACACAGCGGTTCTGCAGGACATAAGACAGAGGAATGTCAGTGTCTTTTATTAGTGGCTTCGTCCTCATGTTAGAGCTTTTTCCCTCATTTCTTAACCTAAAAGACAGAAGGGTAGTGTGATACCAATTTTTCCCTTAATTTTGCAGCAGTTGTGGAACACAGACTTGGCACCTCTCATGGAAGAGAGCTGCAGATGTGTTTTCTCACAACGATTTATTTTAGGACAGGCCTTCTAAACTTTTTTTTTTTTTTTAACCTTACAGTAAACTAGTCCTGAGCAAATAAAATTGGCTGTTTCTGCTTCAGTCTGAGGCTGTTCCTCTTTCTTAACAAGTTATTGTCTGGGATGCTAGGAATATCTTTAACCACTTTTTTAATAAAGCACCCAGGAAAACATTAATGGGCAGAGGGGAGCTCAGGTCACTTGATATTTTATTTGTGATTGACTTCATATTATCTGGGACACTACGGAAAGTGGGAAGAATTTCATCAATACAGGAACTAACATATGTGCTGAGGATTGTGGTGCTTTAGACGCTTGACCAAGTGGAGTTAAGCTGAAGTTTGTCTTGCTGATCCCAGCTTAGGGCTGGCTTTACACAAACCAGATCTGAGTTAGCAGGGGGCCAGTGCTGCACCAAGATTAAGCGTTGTAGCGTTCACGATGACTCTGCAAAGTCTGCACAGTGCTCCCTGCTTTCCCTTCCCCAGCCGGACCTGGGGCAGGGGCTCCAGCGGGCCCTGCTGGAAGCCGCTTTTGCAGGACTGTCGGTCCAGGATCATTGGTCCCTGCAGTGAACCAGCAAGCAGGGTAGCTGCATGGCACTGTGCTGGAGCTCCTGAGCTCTGCCAGACCCGGGCTGGTTTAGCAGCAAGTCAGCCTGGCTGCCTGCATCCTCGGCACAGCTAATCATAACCCTGTTGAACTGCCCATCAATCATTGAGCTGACTGTGCATTAATATCAGAGAAGCCAAATCCATCAGTAAGTTTGGATAATTAAACTGCCAAGGGGTCGATTCCAGGCCTGTTAGTAGTTTTGATGATACGAAGTGTTCACTGAATGTATTTTTGCATGCTACAGCACTCAGTCCTGTAGACGGTGTGACAAGCTTAAGTAGCTCTTTGGTCCTTGATCTCTACATTGTCTTACCACACACAGCTCCACAAATTATTTTGATATTTAAGATAAGTTATATCGCATCCTGCTTGCTCTGCTGAAGCTGAAATCAGGGCTTATATGCAAACTTCCCTTCAGACACTGAAGATATGAATAAAATCTAATTTTTACCTCTTACCTTAGCTGCTGGATAAGAGTGCTTTGAGCTTGTTGAGTAGCTGTTGTTCCAAACCAGTCAACTGCATTTTAGTCATGGTTACTGTGATATTTTCCTGTAGCTTTTAAAGAGTTCTTAGGTTCTCCAGATCTGCAGGTTCAATGCTAGAGAAATGTATAATAACAATAAGGAAAGTAACTGGAATATCTTGAAATATCTTTTACTTTTGAGGAATGTTACACTGAGCTAGAAGTGCAGTCAATGATTACATGGGTATGAAGTGAAACATCATTGAAGGCAGTAGAAATTTTGCCATCGAGGGAAATTCTGGCTTTCTGGAGTTCAAAAGCTCCATAGCCTTAAAAGAAACAAAGAAACAAACAAAAAAAAACCAAACCCCAGACTCACGACTGTAGGAGTAAACATCGTGGGATGTTTTTTCATCGTATCCAGTAGGTACCCTTGACCTTCTCATTCACAGCAGATTTTAGTGAATGAGTCTCTAGAAATCTGTTCCTTCTTAAAGAAGAAAGCGTGCATGAGAAGGGCAAAACAGCTGGAACCACAATGGAAAACCAAGTGCATCAGGTTTAACAGTATCCTAGAAAGCATCCTAGAATGAGACAAAGCAAAGAGAAGGGTGTAGATGCTCTCGCCATCTCCTGCTCTTGCACACTATGGGAAAGTAGCATGCCTGCAGTCTGGAGCATGGGAATGGTGGGTCCTGTCTCTGATCCAGGTCTCGTGGGAAAACCAAAGTCCTTCTAGGGTGGGTCCGTCTTTTTGCAATACTGATAGTTCCTCTTCTCTCTGACAGGGGAACTGTACTCTGGCAAGATGCTCTCTGTCTGGTGAGTCTTACGCTTTTATTTCATTTCAAACTACCTAGACAGAACAGAGCTGATGATGGAAATTGGTAATAGGTTTGATTGGGGTTTATTTCTGTCAGTCATGTAATGAAGAAACAGTTGGTGAAATGAGCTGTGTTTCCATGTGAGTGCCTCCCTTGCCTAATGTACGTGCTGCCCGATCCGTTCGGCTCTGGTGAAGGTTTCACAGCAGCAGCACAGTGTATTTCAAGCATTGCAGTGCTTGAAACACATGCTGCTGCAGAGCCTAGCTCAATAATAAACTCCTTTGAAAATGATGGGTGAATGTTAAGTGACATGTCAAATCTAGTATGCCTGTGAACTCCTCTTCGGTGCTTAAACTGGATTTTCCCAGAGCTCTGTTTTTTCTAGCTGTACTGTGTTTATGTAGCATTACATCACTCTGATTCCGCTTTGAGAAACCAGTTAAATCTGCTTACCTTTTCCGGTTTTTAGAGTTCCAATATCAGCTCTTTAGTAGGGGATGGTGTCAAAATTGTATTGCTTGTTTTAAAAATCAAGTGGGGAAATGGTTCTTCCTTCTGGCATTGTGTGATTGAGATAATTATGTTCCCCGATTGCTACACTGACTCTCTTTAAGATCAGTCTGGAAAACTGCCCAGTGCCCTGAAAGAGGCAAAGGACAGGAGTTCAGTCCGTAATAAAAATTGCAGTGTCAGGGCATGTGAGCAGTGTGGGAAGGGGACAGTGGGGTATGTAAAACTGAGAAGCTATGCAAGTACCTCCCTGCTGTGAGTTTCGGAAAAGAAGTGTTCTTGGGACAGGGGGTGGACAGAGAAGAGGGATGATGGTGGCCTATTACTCTGCTCTATGACCTGTTTTCATTCTTCCTTTCCTCCTTGCCTGTCCATGCGACTGTGCGGCTTCCTGGGGGTGCCTCTTAGGGGACTGATGCCTTGCTCCCATTAGGAACCCCTTTGTATTGGTGAGGATAACTTAGCAGAAACTGAGGTTTTAGTGGTCCTGGAGGTGTCCCTCATAGCTGTTTCCTGGTTTTGTTCTGACTGGCGTAGCTGCTGCTTTGTTTACCCTTGTCAAAGTCACGCTTATTAGTTTTGTCGTCAAGATATAACTGTTTTCCCCATCTCTATAAATCTAGATGAAGACAAGACAAGCTCTGGGCTTCTTGGCAAGCTCTGGGCAGGTTTGACGGCACTGAGGTGCCTCTGTATGGCTATATTCCCCACTTAGTCCCAAGCCTCTTTCAGGGTGGACAGTGGTGTCCTCTGCACTGTTTTACCTGACAGGGACACTTGAGGGCTGGGCGGATGGATAACGTTCCTGTGGGGTAACACCATTCTCATTCACAGGTGTGGCTGGGAGCCAGGGACTGGCTTACACCAACAGCAGGAAGCTTGTGTAAGTATCCCCAGGAAAGCTGTGATGTGGAGGGGCTGCGGCTGCTCTACCCCTGATAAGAGTTGGGGGCTGGGAGGCAGAATAGGGTTGGCTGTCATAAAATCCCTGTGCACATCGTAGGAGCGTGGAGCTAGCCTTAACAAAATCTAGGTTTTGCAGGTCAGGAACTGTGGCATGCTTAAAGAAAGTAAGCTTGCTTTGGAACCAGATACCGAGGCAGGGAAGGGATAGGAATGAGGAGACTGGTGATAAATGGATCTCTACCCTTGGATTATCTGGCTAGAAGTCTTGTTTGCTCTATGGTGGCCTCCTGGTAGGTTTTCTGTCAGGAAAAGTGGGGTGGTTCAGGGAGCTGGTGTTCATATGGGAAGGTTTGGATTGCTGAGGTGGTCTTGTAAAAATGTATCTGGGGAAATAACCTTAAGAGCACATCCATAAAAGCCTGAAGTGCTGGTCTGTTTGCATCAAGTAGCCTGTGTTAGAGGAAATGCTAAAGCACGTTTGCTTCAGGTTTCCAAATGTGGTGTCAGTAGGTATTAAAAACATCCTTTGGAACGCTTGGGATTGCCAGCTCCCTGTGAAGGGACATGATGGAAAGAAATAGCTGTCTCTTTGATGTGTTGCCATAGGCAATTTATGGTGCTTTCTCTTTTTGTGGAGCAATCTAGCAACTTCTGTAGAGATGACAGTCCTGATCTGGAGGTAAAACGTGGTTACTGCACTAGTCTTAGGCATAGGGTGGGGCTGGCTAGGTCAGCCTTTTGTCAGTATTTAAACCACGGGGGTTCTGTTGGGTTGTCTCCCTAAATTAAAATTCCATAGGTGTCAGTTCTCACTGAGTTTCTGAGAGCACAAGTGATGGTAAGCTGTAATGTTTCCTTTCTTACTGGGACTGTTGCAGCTTGAACAGTAAGTAGGAGTCCCTTGGAAAAAATACATTAGAACATCTGAGCAGCCTTTCAGATCAGTTAAGCAAATGTAAATTCTGTACTTGAGCTTGGTGCCGGCAGCCTGCAGAGTAACGTGCTTCTGTGTTCATATCTTTCTCTCTTTCTGCAGAGTAAATAGCTCCAGTGTCTTCACTGTCCGTTACTTCAGAACCACTGCAGTACGTAGTAAGTAAAAAGTCAGGAGTCAGTGGGATGGCTCTTGTGCTACCTGTTGCTGTCCTGACAAGAGCTGAAGCTACCTCTTCCATCCTTGGGTTAGGCCCACTACTGTCCTTCCTCGATGGACAGCTGAGGGTTTATGTCCTAGGGCCCTAAAAATTTTGTCTGGCATTCCTATCACAATGTGACTTTCGATCAGGTGGGAATTTCTCTTGTGTTTAAATGTTAATCAGTGTTGAAGAAGGCCATTTGATGTCTGTTGACCTACCCCCTCTAGTAGAGTCCTGATGACAAGAATGAAGCAATGCCCTAAGTTTTAAGCTGTGAATGCATTCAAGTCTGTCTGTCTCTCTCACAGGGGATGACGTGGTTACGGTGAACACACCAGCCTTTGCAGAGTCAGTCACAGAAGGAGATGTTAGGTGGGAGAAAGGTAAGCAGTTGTCTCTTCCCTGAAATTCTCAGCACCGTTGCTGCTGCACTGGACAGCTCGGGGATGGATTGTAGTTCACTGGCTGACAGCCCGCTCTGTGCCTTTCAGTCTGTGACAAATGAGGCAGTTAACTGCAGTTCTCCTAAGGGGTAAGGATTGCAGTTACTGCCTCAGTACTTCTCTGTCATGGGTGATGTTGGGTGAAGGGTGATGTCTAAACTGGAATCAGACTCTGACTGTGCAGTAGATTGATTGTTTGAGCTAGACTTTTCTTTAGAAGTTGTGGAGAACTGGGGTGAGAAAATTCTGAGTTAGTGGGGGAAACTGCTCTGGGTTAAGAGGGGAGGCTGGAGCACACCTCCCTCCTCACGGTGGTCTTCATATCTATCATTCAGCTGTTGGAGACACAGTGGCAGAAGATGAAGTGGTGTGTGAGATTGAAACAGACAAGGTAGGAGTTTTCTGGACCAAACCTTTTTCTAGTTCTTTAGCGGGTACCCTGCATGGCTCCTCTCCCACTAAGAGCTCCTAGAGCCTGCCGGCCCTGCCAATGTCTCCTGCTGCCTTCATGGAGAAAAGCTTTTCTCATTTAATATGAAAGTTGGCTGTGTCTTAAGTGAGAATTCTTCGATAACTCTTCCTTCCTCATACATTTGATTAAGCATCAATGGTGCTGATGTTTATTGGAGCTGCAATTCCACTCCTTCCAATTTTGGTGCTCTGAGCTTTGAAATCTGTTTCTGTTTAAACAGAGGAGAAATCCGCAGAGCCACGATATGTCTTCAAATTGTTTTAAATTTAGCCTTTAAGTTTACTCACTCCTTAAAGGGCTATTAAGCTTTGAAGTTCTTCTTAAAACTCCCTGCCAAGTTCTGCTTCCGGTGTTGCTGTCAGAAAGATGCTGGCAGCGGGTCGATTCTTGATTGTACCCTGGAGCAGGAAGATCAGGCTGTATTGCACTGCCAGCATCTCCTAAAACTTCTGAGTATTGGCACAAAATCCCGGTGGAGGGTGTGAAAACTGGTGCAAATGGTGCGAGACAGAGCCGCCATCTGTGCCAAATTACAATGTGTATCTGCGCATATTGGCATCTTCTCTTGGGCACTTGTTCTCCATCCAGTATTTGGGGGAATTTCACTGATTTTCCTTTTTGCAGACATCAGTGCAAGTTCCAGCCCCAGCAGCTGGTGTGATTGAAGCCCTTCTGGTACCTGATGGTGGCAAAGTGGAAGGGGGGACACCTCTGTTCAAACTCAGGAAAACTGGAGGTAAGTCAGACGTGTATAACTTGCACAGGCCTTCCTTCTGAAGATAGAAACAAGGCATTTAGAGGGATCTTGAGAGAGGTTAAATGTTTCCTCCATCTGCCTCTGTAGCTGGAAGAAAATACTCCTGTTGTCCTTTAGAAAAGCATAATTTTAGTCCTTCTGAGGGGGGAACTTTCCTTTTGCTCCCTCTGGAGGAGACTGCAGTTCTAAGCTAAAATTAGTTGAGAATTCCCCGGATATAACTCCCTTCTCCGCCCTCTTTAGCATCCAGTCTCCTGCACAGTGAGGAGATCTAGAGTGTCAATGAGTAAAAACACTTTCACCATGGGATCCTCTTGTGGTGCCTCCTATCAGTTCAGTAGTGCTGAGAACATAAAGGCACTCTGCTGGAGGGTTAACTTTTATCAGGTTGGTTGGATTCAGAGATCCCTGACAGTGGAAGCTGTCTATGCCCTTACTATGGTTATTCCTTGTCTTTCAGCTGCTCCTGCCAAGGCCAAGCCAGCAGCAGCCCCTCCTCCTCCTCCTCCTGCAGCCCCTGAACCTGTAGCTGCAGCTGCTCCTCCCCCTGCTGCAGCACCAATTCCCACTACAATGCCACCAGTGCCGCCTGTGTCAACTCAGCCCATCGACAGCAAACCAGGTGAGGCAACAGCTGTTTTCTCCTATTTTCAAGCCTCTCTTCCTTGGGAAGAGTGTGTAAGGTTAAAGATGGCAAACAGTCTGGTGTTTATGGTGAAGGCCTCCCTGCATTATTGCCCTGCATGCTCCAGGCTGAAGATCTCAGCTATGCCTGGTACCTGCGCAGCCCAATTCAAGGCTGCTTCTGCACTGTGTTTCTTGAGCAAGGAGCTGAAACTGGCTTTCTACCTCAGGGCGTTCCGATCAAGCCCTGGCTTCCCTTTTTGACTGATGTGTTCTTTACCCTCAGTGTCTGCGGTGAAGCCGGCTGCAGCCCCAGCGGCAGCCCCTCCTGGGGAGGCAGTGCCCAGCAAAGGTGCCAGATCAGAGCACAGGGTAAGCTGTGGGAATAGGGGCCTTGCCAGCACTTCTGTTGCTGGGTGACAACTTGTTCTGGCGTAAGCCTTGAGCTTTCCGGATGTGTCCATATCTACCTGTTCACACCCAGCTCGGTGGGGCTGTGACAGATGGGGAGATACTCTACGTGAGGGACCACTTAGGGGTGGGGTGGAGGAAGAGCCAGGTCCAATCTGACACAGGTCTTTTCTAGCAAAAAGTACTGACTGAGAACAGAAGGCTCGGTGTGACCTGCTTGGTCTCTCCACAAGCCCTCAGCAAAGGACTGAAGCTGCTCCACTTGCCTTGTTTGTTCTTAAGAGAACATAGTTGAGCAGCCTGCTTTCTTAGCAGTCTTGCTCTTCTCATGTTAGTCTCATGCTGGAAACTGTGCGTTGAGCTGGGCAGCTCCATAGTGAAATCAACTCCTCAGCCTGTCATGCTCCTCAGGGAGACCTGGATTGAAAACCTTGGCCCTAGGTATCCATTACTAGTCAACCAGACGGCAAAAGAAGGGCCTTTTGAGTTTCTTCTGCATTTTGCCCCTTGGATGAACTTGAGGCAATTCTGCTTATGTCTTTTTAATTTTCAGGTGAAAATGAATAGGATGCGTCAGCGTATTGCTCAGCGGCTGAAAGAGGCTCAGAATACTTGTGCCATGCTGACCACTTTCAATGAGATTGATATGAGGTGAGGAGCAGACCTCTTTTTCCCTGTAAAGTAGAGATAGATGCAGGCAGTCATCTTTAAATAGCAGCCAAGACCTTGCTGGTTCTCTTTGGAGAGATTGGCAACACATCTTTTGGGACCGTTTTCTTAGGTGTGTGCCACCATCTGCACAGCTTCATCAGGGCCATGGTGTTGTGGTGTGAGGGGTACGTGGCTTCCTAACGGCCTGTCATTCCTCCTGAGTCATCTGCTGCTTGTAAAAGGGGCAACCTGATTCCTCATCTGTGTGGTTCTTGGTTGAGGACTGGTAGATGTTAAGCAGAAGAGCAGGAGTGAGTAGTGTCACTTGTATAGTGGCTGTTAGGAGACACCAAGATGGAGCATCTGCTTTCTGCCACTCCACCAGGTTACTGCTGTTGGAGGTGGACATATTTAGCTTCCCATGAGGTGGTTCCCCAGGGCTAATCAGCCTTTCAGGTGAGCAGTACATAGGTCTGAGGCCCTTGCTGTCGGATGGTGCAGCTTTCCAGAGACGGACTAGCGTCCTTCCCCATCCCCTCCAGGCAGGTGGGGGTCTCCTGACTCAAGTGCTTGCACAGACTGAGCGCACTAATGGCTTTGGAGGGTGGGCAGCTTATGTTACAGTGCATTAAGGGGAAATTGTACCCAAATCAAATTGCCTTGTGAAATCCTATTCTGCTCCTTAAGACAAAACATGTAAATATTTGGGTCTCGGAACAATAAGGTTGGCAAAATAGTCTTGATTGGAGGGGAAGTGTTGCAGCTTTATCTCCTCTCAGAGGCTCATTGAGGTGTCACTTTACGCTGGCCTTGGGCTCTTGTTGCATCTGGTAATCTGGTTTGGATTGATTGCTGTGAGGTTGACTGGTGAGGGCCTGTGCTGGGGCCTCCTGCTTCCCGTGGGGGGTCAGTGTCTGAAAGGAGGAAGCCATAATGAGGCAGTTTCAGAGCAAACCTCGTCCTCATTGCTGCAGTCCTTGTGTCTTGGGAGGCACTAATGTCTTTGGGCAGTAATCCTAGCCCTAAACAAGGTTAGGTGCAGGAAAACAAACACTCTAAACCATGGAGACCCCTGCCCCTTGCTGAAACTGTCTCTTCAAAGACTCAAGGTCTGTGGAGGGGGGGAGGGATGGACTGTGCAATTCCACAGCATCTGGTATTAGCCTGGGATAGGCAGAGCTTGTAGGCGCAGCTTGGTTGAATTTTTGTAAATGGCCTCGGGTTTGATAAATAGAAGCAGTGGGGAAACATGATTAGCCTGGCTGAGGGCTGTGGGTGGGCTGGCACCCACTACCGTAGCACCTGGGAAGATTTCTTTCATTTCACTCAACTCCCAACGCCAAAGAGTTGGGTACAGAGGCATCGTCGTGCTGCTGACACTGGGCTTGCCACAATGATTGAAGTCTTTTGCCTCGATCACCATGTGCATCTTTTCTGCTCTTGGTATTTCCTGTTTTTTCACCCTGCCAAGGTTGGCCAAGCCACACCTGGAGTTGCTGTCTGCGGTGCCACGCTGGTGTTGGCAGTGGTGTCTCCAGAGAATTGGTGGTGACCCCAGGCCTCA